TGAGTCCCAAGACGCTTTATATTCTGATATTTCTGTCTTTCTTGCTATCGTCAATATAATGAATTCTGCTAATTTCACCGGGTAAAAGTGGAAATCCACCGAATAATGTAATTAAAAAAAGATTTTCATTAGTTGTATGGAAAATAGGTAACATAATTCGAAAAAAAAAACAAATGACGTTGGGGTTAAGTGTTTATTTTTTAGCTCTTGACGCACCAATATAATTCGTTTAATGAAGAGTGGTAAAAATAATATATCAAATCATTGCTACAGAGCGAATCGCAATAGCGAATTTCTTATTTCGAATGAAAACAAGTAGAAAGAGAGCGTTCGACAGGAGATAATTCGAATGGTTCAACAATAGGGTTAGACCCGTTCAGTTTTCACGACACATTTACCAAGGATACTTGGTTCCAACGCTGTTAATAACAATGAAGAAGGCTCGCTACCTATTATTGAAAAAGTACTAAAATCTCTAAAAAGTTATAAACAAAGCACCTAAAAATATAGAATTAGGATTGCAGTGATAGAAGGGCAACTCGCTGTCGAACCGTAGTAAAACCAAGGAGATTCGCTCGTTACTTATAATTAAACAAGTATTATAAAAAATGAATGAATGAAGTGAAATTATTTGATACATTCGGTCAAGGATTCGAATTCGGCGGAATTGATGCAATTTTTTTAGGGTCGATAATTGGTTGAGTGTCCTAAAAATTATATCCTCGCAGCTCCTCCGTCGCACTTTAGCTATAAATCCTACAGAAGTAGTCTAATTTTGGTAATATTTTCATAACGTGAAACTGACTTTCTGTCGCTTTAATTTACCTTGCTTAGGTGACAAAGCATTTACAAAACATAGGATAAATAAATCAAATTAATTGGTAAATATTTTATAGTTTTGTATAATTTGGCGCTTTGTTTAAATGTCAATAGTTTATTATATCTACGGAACAGTTATATTAAAAAAACTTACAGAATAACAGTTTTTTTGTGGACATCACTAGAATTTTCACTCTGTGTGTTAAGGGATCTGTTGAAAACCAGCATTACGCCTTTATTAATAGTTTTATTGTCAGTTTAAGTTGTTTATTATTTTTTTATGCACATAGACGCCATCTAAAAATTTAATTTTCAAAAATACAAGGTTGCATCCCAAATTTACCGGAAGCGTAGTCACTCTACCTCACACTGAGTTGTATGTATTTGAGTTATGTCGCTGTACAATCCTAATAAATAGCAGCTCCCGTGAACTAAGAATGGCGATAACTAGCTGTTGCCACCACAATGGCCACACCGGAACCATGAAACCTAATGAGGCGACATTCGATTCATAACGTTCAATTCAAGAGATTGGAAATAAATTGTTTTCCAACGAACAGCAAGGCACTTTGCAATGGCGTTCGAAATCTGAAATATATTTTGGCGCGGTCGCTTTTCAATTTTGAATTTCGAACACAGTGATGTTCGATTCATTCATTCCTGTTTTTATCATTTTTCAAATGTGCCAATCAGCTCTTTCAGTAACTTTGTTGTTAATTTAAAGCTTATTAAGGGGATATTATTATGTAAGGATTTGCGTTAACTGGTTTTTGTTGAAATTTTCTGAGCCTTCACAAATATAACGATCATTATTCGGAAGATTGAAATCAATATTGTAAAACAAGTTTATTCGAAATCAAAGCAGTTATTCTTTATCAAACGTAAATATTGACAGTCGGGAATCACACACAGTTAGTCAGGCTTTAGCTAGTACATTTCTATGTATAAATATTTGTTTGTCGGTTCGTTACCTACGTGTTGAAAAATAGAGCGCGATAAAACCGTACTGCAGGCGGACTATAAAAACGAAATTGTGAGTATATAGTTCCTGGAGTTCAGTGAAGAGGGTTCTGTATGTTTTGGATAAATAGGTATACAGCTAGCTAGACAATATTCTCGAATATCGACCATAGACAAGAAAGCCGGCGCAGTAGCAATTTTACATACAAAAACGTCTCATGCGCAAGTTTATTTGTCTGTGGTTGTGCTCAAAAAGTTTGCCGCTACGTATACAAGATTATATAACACATAAATTGCTCTCATAATGATATAGGAACTATTTAAGCAGAATTTATGGACACAGAATTTGGAACGGCATAGAAAGAATGTACTTACTTAAGTGAAAGGAGTTTGAACTTGTTCAAAACAAGTAACGTCACGTCTAATTAACTGGTCATAAAATTTGATATATTGGTAAATTATTATTGTGTAAAGAAAAAGTATTTTACATTTCTCTATTTCTTTTTCTACACACGTTTACTTTCGGTGTCAATGAACGATAATAGGTATAATAATTAAGTTTCGGAAAAAAACTGTTACGAAGTATGTGAATTTCCATATTTCTATAGATACGTACATATGAAACCCTAAAAATACTGGCAAGTGATATCGGTGACAATACGCGTATAAATTTATTTCCGGTGATATCGGCGTGATGAATGGCGGGACCGAATTTATTTTTCGCGGGAAATAATAAAACAACGCCATCTTTTATTTATTTTCGAGTGAGCAGCTAAACGTCAAAACAATTTGTAGAGTATTTAACATTGAGATATGATATATTGCTATGTAGGTGTTTTCTTAAATTCCTTAATCCGTTTACAAATTTATCATTTGGCATTGTGATCAACATTATTCAATATTTTTTTTTTTTATATCTTTTTTCCCATCTTGGGAAAGGCAAAGGCAGAGCCATGCAGCCATAGTCTTCATTACTTTTAACTTTTTTAATTTGTCCTGCCGATTTATAAGCAAAGAATCAATTAATAAACAGGCTACTTCTTGAAGAATGAAAGATGATGTACTAATTATTTCTCAATTTCAATTAGGTACTAATGGGTGCCTGCGTCTTTAAAAAGCTATAGGTGTACCAAATTTAAGCGCAAACCATCCAGTGGTTTGAAATGTGTGTTGATAGATCAGTCAATCAGTAAAGTTTGCCTTCTATCTTAATGTATCTAAATTACTTTTGGGCGGTACGAAGTTCGTAGAGTCTCATTGAGAATAGGGAGAGATTGGGCCATTACCCACCACGCGGGTCCAGTGCGGATTGGTAGGTGCTAACGATTGCAGATGCAGCCGGGAGCAAAGGCTTAACCTGCCTTCCGAAGCACGGAGGAGCTCGAGATAGTAAATTTTCGAGATAGTAAATTTTTGGTCACCCATCCAATGACCGACCACTGCGAAAGTTGCTTAACTTCAATGATCGCAGCCGAACGCGCTAACCACCCGCGCCACCGAGCTCCTCCTCCACCAAGAGGTAGTGTTATTTTAATGTGATCTTCTGTAAGGTAGAGGGTACTTCCCCAAACGGGCGCTTCAATTATAGCGGTAAAACCACTATGCCCTATCTACCTGGCGGGGTTTCAGATATTTTGGAAACAAAATATATAATTCTCTTGCACTAAACTATATGACATATAACGCCGTCATTTTCTATGGACATCATAGGGTGAACAGCGAATTGAGAGTTGATTAGTGATAGCGATGGGAAAAAATTGCATAGGAAACAGAAAAGGTCATGGTGGCTGGACTGAAACCACTTTTATTTAACTTCACATTGTTTATGTATGAAAGAGTTATGATTGTAATTTGCATAAGATTTGAATTTTAAATCAGTTAATGAGTTTAACTGATGGTGTTTGTTTTTTTTATTTAATAGCTGTTAAGCACGCTGTTAGTCGCAACAGCATTAGCTGATCAGCAGCAATGGAGCCCCTTCATGCCACAAGTTCAAAGCCAAGACCTCTTGGCAGCGCAGTCACAGGATCATCAGGTAATAAATAAATCTTTCATGTTTTTTTTTGATGTGTAACATCTTTCCTCTCGCTTTCCTGCAATTTGTGGGAGTGATTGCTTGAAATGGAACGTAAGCGTGTAACAGGAAGTCGCGAAAGCTCGCGCTATTTGATTTAATTTTAGATCGTAATGTTCAAATGGCTTATTCCTTTTGTAGTAGGTTTTATTTCTTTTTTTTTACTAATATAAGGTGAGGTTTCAAATGTTACACATCATACGCGACTACTGTAAGGCTCGCTCGTTTTTTTCTATGTTAAAAGGGTGGCACTGGCAATCAAGCATATGGCCTGGGGGTCGATTCTGCTAGGCTAACCTGAAAATCGTGTCTCAATAGTGATTCAGTAGTAACGAATTTATACACATTTCTTGTTACTTAAACCTAAAATGAATAAGGATAATAATAACGGACGAGTTACAATAAATGTTTTAAATTAAAGAAAATTCTACTAGAAAAAATTCCACGCGGACCAGCCAGCAGACGAGACTCGAACCTCTTTTGCATAATCCAATGTAATCACTGATAGCACTGAGCCTGTTCTCAAACTAACATAACTGAGATTAAAATGGTTCTGTACCCTTAGCACGAACCAAACCAATATCGAATTCGTAACGTTTGCGAGTCCGAAATGTCATTGTCAAATGTGTACTGATATTTAGTTCTCGTTACGTACTTTGTGCCGCTTCCATACAAAATTTGACATTGACATTTCGGTTTTCAAGCTATTCGAATTCGATAATGGTTCGTGCTAGGGGTACTGAAATAGCCTTCAGTATTAACGTAACAAGATGCAAGAACCACCTGCATTATTATAATAACTTTTTATTTCCGCATAGTGACATAACCAATGAATGAATCTCCTAAAAAGGCGTTTTTAATTATATGCATTTATTTCGCTGGAGTTACACACAAACTCTTTTACAATAATGTGTTACAAATAATGGGTTCAATGTAGGAAAGTATTTAAGTTTCACTTGATATTAGCTAAGCAGTAAAAATTTAAGTATATGGGGATCCGTTCAAATTTGCTATAAAAACAATGTAAGTATTCAATATTTATGATACTACAGCGGTGTTGTATAACGTACACCACTTAGGAGGAGCGACCACCTGCGACCGGAAATTGCATTATTTTTCCCGCGCGAAAATGTAAGTTTCCCGCGCAATGAGAGCCGGTCCGACTGGCAACCTGGATTCACTCAGGGCTAATACAAAAAATATGGCCATTCCACATCGTAACCTGCATTTACGAGTTTTTATATTTTCCTTTTGCGAAAAACATTGGCGTCGTTTCGTTGGGTCATGTCGGTTTGCGCGCCAAAGGGCCACGGGCTGTATTCGGACAGGCAGACTCTTTTTTTTTTTAAAATAAAACCTTTGACTGTGATACGAACTTTTTTAAAGTTGTTAATTTTTTTTGCTACGAACAAATGTTTGGGAGTAAGTACAGTTTTATAATATGAAAGAAGGAGGAAAATTTTAACTGTTTTTTGTCTAAGGACTTTGTAAAAACATTACAAGGGAAACCTTAATGGAATATTTATTATCCATTGAAGATTAAATATTCAGAATAATGAATATAATGATGTCTGTTTACTTAATGAGGATGATGTTAGACGTCGTAATTCTACTGATTTTAATAATAATTTATTTCTGCTAGTTAGAGGAGGACATTTAGTTTATGTTGTATTTTCTTTCATATCCTAATATTCAATAATATATCTAAATATATAATAATGTTTAAAATTCTATTTATAAATGAGATCTGATAAATAATATAAAGTTAATATTGGATTGAATATCTAATTAGGTTGAATTCGTAAATAGAAATGAAAAATGATTTCCTATGGACCCAAGATTTGTCCGAACTGTCGAATATGAATTTTCCAGTCGTATTTCTCTTTGCCAGCAGGAATTTCCGTTGGCCCGTACAATCGACGATCGTTCGGAAGATCTAATTATTCAATTCTTGCATTTTTCTTTCGAAATCGTTGTAGGAGAAACGTGAAAGGCGAATTTTCCGAACCATTCGCTCCTTTAAAAAGCGCCCTTTAAATTGGCTACGCTTTGTTTGAACTTCATTTCGGTCTCGCAACCAAATCGTTTGTTATTTTTTTTTTGAGAAGTTATATCATTTTTGCTTTTAGCATCTCCATAAATATTCTATGGTTATAAAAAAGTTACGAGGCTAGTTAGCGGGAAAATGAATATTTGAATTAGGAATTGTTTTTGATGATCGTGTTTTGTTATGGATGATACTTAAGACTTTAGATACTTTTTAAAAAAGTTCGGTCTGAAGCAAAGGTACGTACTGATTATTAGTCGTATATGCCTTTTATTTTTTGAGTAAATATATTTTATAGTTATTTAATATTTAATTAGGCATATTTATTTATAATATTTTATTTAAATTTCAATAGGAAGTACTATCTAAATACTGATAATTTTCATTTAACAGAAAGATAATATGAAATATAATGTAAATATATCCTGGAAAATTCAAACAGTAAATTAACATTGAATAAATCTAATTTAAAGAGGCATTTTCATTTTACAATTGTTAAAAGTATTTTTATATGTGATAACATGAAAAATTTTGTTAATTATAGGTAACAAATAAATAAAGTCCGAAGTAGTACCTTGTATGGTTATGCTTCGCCCCGATTTAGTCGCATAAAACATATGAAAAATAAAACATTCGTGCGATGAGGATTCGTAACGATTTTAGTTTAGAATGCAGATTTATAGAGCTAAGTATTCCATAAAATACAGTGGTTAAATTTTTATTCTACGACAAATATTGACGAAGTTATGACCAAATCACTAAACGAATTTTCGACTGGCCGCGTGGTGCTGTGACGTCACAGAGTTCCACCGCTTGGGCGCGAGCGTGCGTAGAGACGCTGCCGGAGTGAATCACGATCGAGCTCTGTGACGTCACGCGTTTCGGCCGCCGGTGAATATTGGCTACCATAAAGCTTATTAGATCATTACACTGTTCACTTTTTATTGAATTCAATTCGGCACAGCCTATGGTACTCTGTGGGTAACCACGTCTTTAAGGTTGTCAAAAGAAAAAAAACATAATTTTTATTAGTTTTAAAATTATGATAATTTTTGCTTTGGTTGGTATTTTATAACGTCGTTAAATGGCGCAATGTAGCTTATTTGATTATTTTTTATTACACACTGGCGGAAATAAGCCATTAAAAAACTAGTGTTGTGTTTTTTCCAATAAATTGAAGCTGTTTTATGTAAACATTTTCGAGTTAATTTTAATTCAGTACTAACCTATTAAAAAAGTAAAGTGCCATACAAATGTTCTCTTGAATATAGTTTTCTTTCAAATTTATTATAAAAATAAAACTAGTTTTAACGGGTGAATGCACGAACTTTATTTATTTATTGATGTTTCGCAGCCTTTTCAGGTCAGAATAAAATAAAAAGTCAAAGTCGTAAATACAAACCTATTTCATTAAATAAAAAAATTAAATCGAAAACTGGGAAGCAATGGATTTAAATTATTCAGCCACAAAAAGAAAGAAAGCGAAATTATCCTTTCTCAGGAAAGAAAAAAACTTCAGCCCTACACAGATTCGGTTATGAAATTTTAATGTACGACGTCAGACAGAAATCTTTTACGAGCCGCGACGGCTCATCAAAGGGCCCGACAGAATTAATATACGCACGTAACGTAGTGATACCCACGACACATGGGTTACTCACACGTCACTTTTATGATGCCACCCCAGAATGACACGTTTATTTGAACTTTGAATTGTATTTCTCATGCTCCCACCTAGGGACCTAAAAAGGTCAAATTGAGCAATATTGCTTAAAGTATATTCATTTACAGAATAGGGATGATGACTAATTTTTTTTTCTTCGTTTATCAGGTTCAATTAAAAAGTATTGGACACGTATTTTTTCTTTTTTCACATAATATAAACATTGCAGAGATATATTGATTTGAAAAGTCGCATGACGTCACGTTTGAGTACACTTATAAGTGAAAATTCACTCAAAAGTGACGTCACGAGCCCCTACTCCCAAACTTTGACGCGCTATAACTTTGTCATTTTTTGGTTGATTGCCCAAAGAAAAAATACGTGTCCATTATTTTTTGATCATCTAACTGGCGGACTAAATAGAATTTTGTTTACTGTACCCCGTCATCACCCCTATTCCTTGCAGATCTAAAGCAGTTCCTCTAATTTTCGTAAAATTGTTTTCTGAACACAAAAAACTATATTAATTGCAAGATGTTGCTCTTGAGTAACTTTTTATGAATCTGCTAATTGACACTTCAGCAATTCCTATTTTGTGGACCATTTTACGAATCCTCATAGAAAATTGTCAAATGAATGAATTGCTGCATATGAATTGTATCCGAATCCTAATACTTATGAATTGTCGGCTAACTGGCCATTTTATGATTTTCAATATGAATCACTTTAAGAATCCAATGAGAATTGCTGAATGCGGCCTTTTTAGGTCCCCTGTCCTGTGCGACGAAGCTTCGCTTAGGCTTTGATGCTGTAAGCGGAATTTGAATTAGTTCCATCGCAATGAATTATCGGGCTGCGTGTCTATAGACGCTAAACGATAGCTTGACTGGCGTTTTTGACACGCTTAAAAGAGGTTGTGAGAGAGGATAAATTAGTACAGGTCGCGGCACGTTACTCTAGCGCTGAACAAAACGCGGAGGGGATAGCTACGCATGGGTACGACTGGAGAGCCAATCGGAGCAGGGCTTGTTTACCGGTTAATATTCAAACCTAAATCAGCATCAAGTACATTAGGAGCGTTTTATTTAGGTTTGGCTCATCCTTAACCATAATAAACCGGTTTTCCTAAAAAGAGAAATCAAATAGGTTTTGAATCAATTTAGCGGTTTTTAAAGGGTTCCATTTCTCTCTTACTGACGGCATCGCCTTCGCCGTTTCAATTAAAATTTATAATGATTTTATGTCAGTTTCTTTCCAACTACAGAGCGAGTGAGTGAAGAGTGTGTCACTACACAACTACAAAATGAATAACTTGACTCACTAGACGCTAGCAAAACGCTTAACAAGTTGTGACTTGATTAGTTCAAACAAAACAAACTTCAAGCGATACCGACGCGTGCACGTGTCGCTCTTGATTAAACCGGTTTATTAAGGTTTTAGGTACCGCTTTCATTTCGGACGCGCTCCGAACGAAACCTTTACTAAAAACCGGTATTAACCTTTATTTACCGGTATTTTCGAAACCGGTTACAAGCCCTGAATCGGAGTGACGCACGCCCACCCGCGCACCTCGTTTCCCCCCAAGACATCTTCATTTCTACTTCTCGCAACAACGGACAGCGCTAGAGTTTCGTGTCGCGACTTATATGTGCAGCTGTGGATTGTACTAACGATGGAACTATTTCAAATTTCGAACGCAAATTTCAGCGCGCTTTTTAGTACCAAAGCTTTGTTGCGTTGGTGTGGTGGGAGAAGCATCAGACGTCACTTTGGGGAGAAAAAGTTTATCTTAAAACTCAATTTTTGGTTTTACTATAAAGCTGGAGGATTTATCGCTATGAAAAAAAATATTTGTTTAATATAGTATGTATATAGTATAATAGGATACTTTTTATCTCGAAAAATCTTGGGTTTCTCCGAAATTCTTAAAAAACCATAGTGAACGCGGACGAAGTCGCGGGCGGTCGCTAGTAAGTTAAATAAGTTATATCGTAATACAGGCATAATAGACTACTACGGTTCTAAGATTCTTACAGTCAGCTGACAGAACGACAGACAGCTTTTTGGTAATAGTTTCCCGTTGCTACCCTTTATTTCATCATCATCATCAGTATTTTAATGTCCCCACTGCTGAGGCACCTGCCTTCCCTATGGGAGATTGGATCGTGACCCACCACGCGGGCTCAGTACAGATTGGTGGGTGCTAACGACTGCAGATGCAACCGGGACCAACAGCTTAACGTGCCTTCACAGCATTTGAAATAAAAGTTTTTGGTCACCCATCCAATGACCGACCATTGCGAAAGTTGCTTAACTTCACGATCGCAGGCTGAATGCGTTAACCGCCTGCGCCATCTATCACCTCCATCCCACACCGCATCTTTTATTTACGGACCCCTAATAACACTTCAAGCATGGTACCTACAGTGAACCGCTGAAACCTTTACGATAATTCAAAGATCATGAATTTTTAACGGGATCAAGATTGCGAGATACCAGATACTACACATTAAATACGAACGCGTTCAAACAGCAACAACAGACGCGGGAAAAAAAACAAAATAAAAAAGTCCATTATTTTTTGTTAGCGCTCTTGTGAAGGCTTACGAGGTATTCTTGACACGTCTCACTGTCGAATTGAGGTCGTAAAGGGCCCATTACATCGGCAACTTATCACCACCGCACCAATAATGACAAACATTATCTGTGAACATTGAAAAATATATGGGATTATGTCTTTATATAAACTTATTTTCTTCTAAAAAACATATCAGTAAAACCATAAGCCAATTTTCTGTTGTTAACTTAACAAAATACTTGAACAAAACTGTAACTGAAACATATTATTCTACAAAGTTATATGTTTAAATAAATGAGTAATTTTAAAGTCATATATTCACTTGTGCCAGTCATTAAAGATTTTATTAGAACTGATGCGAATATCATGGAGTTGAATTGATAGCAAAGTTCTTATTATGAAATTGTATTAAAAAAAACTCAACCAATCGCAACTGGCTGAAAAGAGAACTTACCAATAAGTCCAATAGGAGACCTTTTCCGATTTCAAAATGAATCGAAACTTATTTAATTTAAATATGCCAGTAACATCCGCTCACTCGCTCTTTGATATTACTAAACTTATCGAATAACACGAGACGAGCGCGGCAGAACGCGTTCGAAAGTTAAAAAAAGAACGGTAAAATAACAAATGAACAACAAAATAAGCTAGCTAGTGACACCGCGAAAACGGTACGTGTTTTTGGCTCCGCTCTACCGTTATTAAATTGGCGCGAACGGTGCCGTTCGAAAAACAAAAAAGCGCGCCAATTCATCTGTGATTTTACTACAACGGCATAACGTCAGTTTAGCTATTGTTTATGTTCAAAAGGGTGTAAAATTGTCTTTAATGCTGCTTTAAGTATTCTGAGTATATATTTTTTGATATTGAAAGTATTTAAGATTTAATTAGTGAAACCTTTGATTAAAATTCTGTAATTGCGTTACAGAAAAATATAATGAGAATACTTAAAGCAGCATTAAAGACAATTTTACACCCTTTTAAGCATAAACAATAGCTAGGCTGACTATAGAAGGCTGTTAAATGTTTAATGTTATTTTAGTGTCCACCTTTGAAATATTATTTTCTAATTGAAATAAGTAATTATTTCGTAATTGAATTATTTCTCAGTAGAACTTTTGTCTGGAAAATATAACATAATAATTTCATACCCATTTCAATGTAAAATAAAACATTAATTATTTCTCATAATTACAAATGGTGAAAGTTGATAAAAATATTATAGTTATAGCTTGCAGTGCTTATTTATGTTGGTACTACCTACGTACCAAGCAGTAAATAAAATATTTGTTAATATTGTTAGTACCTACTTAGGTACTATTGTTAATATTAACAAATCTTTTTTTTAATATTCACTTTGATATAAATTTTGATGCTTAATTATCTCATAAGTAACTTGTATATGTCTGAAAAACAGGGGCTATATTTAGGCTGTTATAATTACCAAAAGATAATTCCATTTAGAAACTAATCCACAATTAGCTTTGTTGTAATATTACCTGTCTTAAGCGAGCTTATAATAATTACTAGAGTTACTACATTTAGGAATAAAATTGGGAAAGTAACAAAGTATGAGGGTTACGTATATATATTTAATGTTAGTTAGCTAATATATCTTGAATTCCGATTAATTGATTTTTGACGTAATAATGACATTAGTTGTTAATGGGTTTATCTTGCATTTTATTTCACTTTAAGGTTAACAATATATATAGGTATATGTCATTTTATCAAATGCTATTCTTTGATTTTGTTAAATTATATTTGTTAAGTAAAGCTACTTGAAGTAGCTTGGGGTACTTAGATAAATGCATTTTTTCTTAGCCTAAGTTTCTACCTAGAATCACCTACATTTTTTTTCTATAATTCTCGTTTCTGGCTTTGGTGAGACGAAAGAGAGAACTTTCTGAATAAAAGTAGTAGCAACTGAGGTGCATTCCTTGTTTCTTTTTTGCTGCCATCTTGGAATTGAGACATAAACAGAGATAGTTCATCATGTAAAGTAATTTTCTCTTTCTTTCGCAGTACCAGTTCGGCGGCTATTCCACCGGCGGCTTCGGTGGCTCGGAAGGCGGTCATGACTTCGGTAGTCAAGGTCACGACTTCGGCAGTCAAGGCCACGACTTCGGAGCTCAGAGCCTCGACGCCCACAGCTTCGGTGGTCACGAGTTCAAATCTCACTCTTACCCAGTCCACCAACACATCGACGAAGAAAGCCCCGAGCCCATCAAGCACTACAAAGAGATAGTAGTCCCCGTTCCTAAGAACGTAGAGTTCAAAATCAACCAACCCATACTCATCCCAGTACCCCATCCAGTACCAATCCAGGTTCCAGTACCCAAAGCTGTAGTTATTCCCATTATCAAAGAGGTCTCCATTCCAGTCGAGAAATCTGTACCTTACCCGGTCGAGAAACAAGTGCATGTACCCAGAATCAAGGAAGTACCATTCGAAGTGGTCAAACATATCATTGTACCTGTAGAGAAACCTGTACCTTTCAAAGTTCCAGTTTACGAGACCATCATTCACACAAAGAAAGGATCGCACAAGATTTAAATGTGTAGAATGAGAGAGAAGGAGGTGTTTGTTACTGTCATTCGTTCACTTTTCCCGCTCAAAGTCAATTTGGCGGGAAAATTACCACAGACAAAATAATCACATTGTAACAACCTCCTGTCCTTCTTCAGTAACGACAGTCGTCGGGCTTGTTGTTGTTAAAAATGCTTTATTGTTGTGTTTCTGTTGTTGTTGTTGTTGTTGTTGATACTTGTTAAGTTGTTGGGACTGATTTTTCGTTTCTTGTTGAATGCTTGTGTGTGCGTGTGTTTGTGTGAATGTACGTATCTACCTGTTAATAATTTTATTTCCTATTTTTTAAGTATTATAAAATAAAAGAATTGTTATTAAAATTGTTAATTTTATTTCATTTGAGTTATCACGCTATTACCCTTTAATCTAATTTCCTTTTATTTAGTAAATTAAAAGTTATTGCCGCCAAACAGCCTCTTGAACCATTTCTCAAACTCTTGTCCTGATTTGCCGTTTCCCACATTGTACATTTATTCGGTATATTCTTGGGAATGTTCCTAAAATTTAATTATATCAATATCAAATGATTTATTGCATTTTTACAGATATGGTTATACAGGTTATAAAGTACGTTACATGAATCCTGTCAGGGTAACGCAATACTTGGTGTTCTATGAATAAAATTTACAATAAAAAAAATATTATAATCTAAATTACAATTCAAATAAAATTTCTTAAATTTACGTAATATAAATGGTTGACTACTATTAAAATTTACATGTTTCCACAATTATCCCATTTAAAAAATATTAATTATAAAATAGATTATAAATTTACCCACCTTTAAATCAACTGTCATCCATTAAACATAATATATTTTAAAATCAGACAATCACACATTCCAATTAAGTAATTAAGAATCATATAAAATTATATTGTTGATCTTTACTTGAGTTAGAAAGGGATGTCGCTATGTATAGCATAGATCTTCACTTTGTTGTCATTCTGTAATACGAGCCTTAGTGACCTGTATGACCTAATGGAATTGTATATCTCAAAAGTCCAAAAAATAATAGAAATAATAATATCAAGATTCGAAAGTCGGTATTCCGAATAGCCCACTTCTTTTAAACGACAGGCAGATAATTTAGACTTCATCACAAAATACAAGTTAATAACACGAAAAATAAAACTTAAATGAAAGTAAAAAGAATTACCTATTCAAAAGTTACACAACAATGTAATGTGTGTGAAAAAACTGCTACAATAACGTTTTGCACAACACTAAACGAAAATAGACCAAAAAAGTAACGGTTATATAATGCAGTGAAAGTACAGGTTCACTCTTTTTACTCTGCCAAAATCTAGTTGTGGTTCGCTTCTAAATAATGTTACCTAGCTATCGTCTTGTGTCTGGGTGATTATATAGATGGACAAGATATATTTATTGCACTATCGACTATATTGTGTTATACATAATTATGTAGTTTTAATTTTTTTTTGACGACCGCCGTAGCCGAGTGGTTTGTACGTCGGGTTTCAAGGTGACGCGTACTCGAGAGGTCTTGGGTTCGAATCCCGGTGTTGGCAGATGTTTGTGTGATGAATACGAGCATTTGTACTCCAGTCATGGATGTTTAATATGTATTTCTATATAAATTAACTTATATATGTATCAGTATATGTATTCTATCCGTTACCCTAGTATCCCATGACACAAGCCTACAGTGCTTACTTTGGGGCTAGGCGGTGTGAGTGTTGCAAATATTTACTTATTTTGAAAAATCTGATAAACGAAAAAAAAAGTTTGTCGTCATCCCTATAATCCGTAATGAATAAAAAAGTAAAATCAGCATTATCTTATAACCTACTACAACTCATTCCCTTTAATCAGCTGAGAAGCTGGTCAAGGGACTACACACAAACGCAGGCAACGGAATGGTATACCTCAACGCCAGTATGTAGGCAATCCAAGGAGGTTATGTCATCCCTAGACACAAACTGAGACCCTGTAACTGAAACTAATACTTTTTGGTTGGGTAATACTTTGTAAATATTTATCTTCTATCTATATATATAAAACTCAAAGGTGACTGACTGACTGACATAGTGATCTATTAACGCACAGCCCAAACCACTGGACAGATCGGGCTGAAATTTGGCATGCAGGTAGATGTTATGACGTAGGCATCCGCTAAGAAAGGATTTTGATCAATTCTACCCCCAAGGGGATAAAATAGGGAATGAAAGTTTGTATGAAACTTTGTCAATTTTAAACCGATCGGGCTGAGACTTTGCATGCAGGTATAAGAAGAATCAATGGTGTAGGTACCTCAACGCCAGTATGTAGGCAATCCAAGGAGGTTATGTCATCCCTAGACACAAACGGTGACGGGCACCATCACCGGATATTGCTTACTGAACAAACACTTTCACACTCTAGTTATCACTGATAGTAGGGTGCGCAGACGCGGTGAAGTCCCTCAACGGGGATCTCGCGGTTCCACACTTAAACAACGTAGAGGGTATTCGCAGGGTGTTTTAGCGGATAGTATGCCGTAAGCGCTCGTAAGCTGCGCGGACTGCTTAACGGCTTATCCGTTTCGCACTGTGTGACTTGCGAGAGGCTAGGTGTGAGGTCCGTTCGTTGGTGTGCCCCTTAAGGGCGCCAACGTCTGTAAATAGAGGTTTTACCTGCGTAATAAAAAAAAAAGTATCACTGATACTCACCTATGCAGAGCATGCATGGAGGCTGAAGAAGCGGTGGTAAATATGCTGCTTGAGTGCACAGGTGTCGCCCAGATCTGCAGAGAGACTCTCGGTACAACGGAATCCCTCGCGGATGCCCAGAGAAGACTTGGAAGACTGATCTGCATCTGGAGGGAGTAATCGGCTGCTGAGGCTCAAGTGTAATGGTCCACTTAACGGTGACATTGTAGGACATTGATACCCGTTCAAAACACGTTTACACCGATGTTGTTTGCGGAGGTAGATACGGAATCATAAAATCTCTATCGCACACAAAAAAAGATATAAGGTTTGCGAATTAAAAGGTATCAAATTCATTGTTGAAATCCAAAAAGAAAAAGGTGTTTCAGGCAAGGAATAGTCTTAGTCTTAGTCGGTTTGTAGTCTTATCAGACTATTCTTAACTTATAACTTAAATATTCTCTTTATCTATCTCTTACGGTTTGGTCGCTGAAACAGCACCACAGACGGACGGACTTGTCTAATAGATAAGAGATGGTTTCCGCATGGGACATACCTACTATAATATTATTGCAAAATCTATATTAAAATTTCTAAAAAAATCTTTCAGTTGTGAGGTTTACATCTATTTGACTCAAATGTGGAACACAATTGCAAACTTATAACAAGACTCGTACTCGACAATATCTCTATCGTTTGGTCTGCAAATTATGTCCCGAGTATTTTCCGAAAGACAACACAACCAGAATATAGTGTATATTCTCAGCATAAGTGACACAATTTTGATCACCCATCCTACGTCTGTTCATTGCGAAAGGTACTAAAATTCCCGAATTATCTCAAGGTTGAGATAAAGCTCGTCTAAAATAAGAAGCAAGGACAGTCGAAGGAGATTCTTTTGGAGTCAAGGTTATGCCATTACCGCACTAGTAAAGAAGGCACACCAGAAGCTTCATACAATTGCGCGTGTGTGAGTGAACACTGGCGCCCGGTCGCGTAAACATTGAACTCATAAAGTCGACCCATATTGTTGTCTTTGTTTTCACACATAGTCCAAAACAGGGACAATTATATGTTGCTATGAACCATACTTCGAACAGCGTGCGTACCGCTATACTAACGAAAAATTGGATACCTTTACCTTTACGATACGATACAATATATAGAAAGCAATCTAATGTTAAATGCAACCTTTTTGAAGTTATACTTCTTTAGGCGCGTTATGAATAAATGATGAGAGTGAAATTTTAAGATGCGCGCGCATCACTGTAACGCAAAATTTTAACAGCATGAATGTTTGAAAATTCATGCTGTTACTTTTGTGTTTACCGCACATTAAGAAAATCTACCAACAAAATAGAAATAGAATCTCTATTTAGTGGGCGCTAACGACTGCATTGTGAAGGCCTATCAAAAGTATTTATTAATCTGGAACAACGGAACCAAAGCGCGATTCAGGAGACTACAGCGCCATCTCTTGACCATTGGTGTAGTAGAACCAAAAACCACATCTTTATTTTTTGTAATAAAGTAACAGTTATAGGTATTCATATTTATAATATTTATCCACATGTTTCTAGTTTGTATATTCGGAATACGTGTTTGAGTTTCATACAAGTGCAAATCACATATGTTCTAATAAATTATATTCAGTAGCGATTTTAATTGAATATTTTTATTATTTATTTATTTATTCAAATTAAAACTGAACTTTATTGACTGTGTCCTTTTCCAGACTTTTTATTCATTTATTGTAATTAATTATTTGCATGCAATTAAAAACTAATTTTAAACGATGCCAAAGAAGGATAACTTCTCACGCGCCTACATAAGTACAAGCACCCATTTTTTTTATATAACGCAGGTAAAAAATCTTTTTACAGACGATGGCGCCTTTAAGAGGCACACCGCCGAACGGACCTCACACCTGGCTCCCGCAAGTCTTACGAACCCCCCAGTGGCTGACCACCAAGGACCGCGCAACTTTTACGGGCGCTTTACAGTATAATATCCGCTAAAAAGTCCTGCGAATACCTTCTACACTGCTTAATGCGAAGCCGCGGGGTCCCCGTTAGGGATTCTACCACGGTATGTTAAATGCAACCTGCGAACACGAAACTAATACTTTTTGGTTGGGTAATACTTTGTAAATATTTCCAATATTTTCGTTAATCTATTGTCTATGGAAGTGTACACTGGAGTGTTTAAGTAAAGCTATGACGTTCCAACGTCAAAGTGTTACTTCTACGGTTTAGTCTTGTTCTGAGGCATATACAGAAAAAATGATTTCATTGGCTGAGACAGACCGCCATGCGCCA